GCTCTCCCAGCCTGGAGCCAGAGCCTGACATTGGATCCATCCCCAGCCCAACTCCTCTCTGGGAAGGAGTTCCGGGAACAAGGGGGGGTTCCCTGGGAATCTCGGCACTCAGGGAAGGGGCTCCCTTCCCCTTTCCCGCCTTTTCCATCCCCACATTCCAGAAAAACCCCTCTGAGTGGATCCTGAGTGTCCTTTATCCTGGAACCGTTTGGGTGGGAAGGGATTTTCAGGATCATCCCCTGGAGTGTCCCGGCACTGGGGGAATCCCGGGAACACCTGGAATGACCCTTTGGATCCTCTGGCAGAGCCCGACGTGGCCCCAATCCCCACTTTTCCCGTTTTTTTGGAGCCCCTCCCGCTTCCCAGGGAGCCTCCAGGGATCCCTCCATCCCGGGGCTCCCAGGGATATTCCCAAACCCATCCCAGCTCCAAACCCCTCCTCCCTTTCCAGCGGCAATTCCATCTCCCCTCAGCGCCGGGAGAGGCTTTCCCGGGAATTCTGGGATCCCACCCCTGCGGGGAGGGGAGAAAAATCCCCGTGGATGTGGCCCCCGGCGATCCCAAGGGGGTTTTTCCAGCCGGGATGATTCCGGGATTTCCATGGACGCCAGAGGGCGGTGCAGCCCCGGCCGCGATCCCAACCATCCCCACCCTCCCGCACGGGAACTCTTGGAATAAAAACCAGGAATTCCTCCTCTCCTCGGGCCGGGGAAGCTCCAGGTGAGGTCCCTGCCCGTCCTTCCCGGAAAATCCCGGGAAATCAGGCACGGAGAGGCAGGGAAAATCCCACCCCTCCCATCCCGATCCCGATCCCGAATCCCACCTGATCCAGAGCAGGAATTCCAGCAGGTGATGCCCCACGGCGCGATCCCAGAGCCAGCTGGACGGAGGGGAGCTGGGAGCCTGCAGATCCAAGAGCAGGGAATTCAGGGAAGGGCGGGAATTCCGGAGCGCGGGCCAGGATTGAATCCCGGCATTCCCAGAATTTCTGTTCCCCCCCCTCCAGGATTTGTCCTGAGCATTCCAAGGGCTTGGAAAACCCTGGAATTCCCAAAATATGGGAACAAGCCCCATCCAGCCCCTAAAGGAGACCAGGACTTGCCCTGAGCATTCCAAAGGCTTGGAAAACCCTGGGATTCCCACCCAGACTGTGGGAACAAATCCCATCCAGCCCCAATAGGAGACCAGAATTTGAGGATTCCAAGAACTTGGAAAACCCTGGAATTCCCAGACCGTGGGAACAGGTCCCATTCATTCCCCCAAGGATGCCAGGACTTGCCCTGAGCATTCCAAGGGCTTGGAAAAGCCTGGGATTCCCACCCGTGGGGTGCCCAACCCGGTCCCAGAGCGCTCCCCCCTCCCCCCATTCCCGGCATTCCCGTCGGGAATCGCGGGCGTGCCCTGGTGGTGGGGTCCTGGTAGATGATCCGGACGTGGTCGCTGTGCGGGAACCACAGGAAGCGGAAATATTGGGATGAGCGCAGGTGGAGATCCAGCTGATCCAGCACCTGCCGGAAAACCGGGAATGGGAGTGCCCAG